AGTCAGTCCTTCTAAAGGGTGAAAATTAGATAGAAGAATCCTACATGCATACAAAATATTTTTAATCTTATTTTCTTCATCTCTGTGTACTTATAAATGACTGTTACATTTCAGTTTTTATAATGAAATATGTTGTGTTCCAGTAAGTGCATTCATCCCATTTTATTTGTTTTAATTAAAATATTATTGGTCTTTTTTCCCTAGTAATCAAAATGTATTCATTATTTTAATTACTTTTTTCTTTATGTTGTGTTGTACTGCCAAAATGAGCAGAACGATATAATGCATTAGAATGTTCAGGTAAGTACCATATTCAGGAATAACTACTCAAATTGATGGATAGTGACACATACTAAATAAGGAGTTTATCATTATGTCATCTTTTGTCATTTACAAAAACACAAAAAATAAAGAGATTTTCTGAAATGAACTCCTGTTTGGTGTATTTTTATAATACACCATATGTCCATATCTGAATTTGCTTTCTTCTGCTGCTTTATTTTCAGCAATAGGAAAGCCCTAGAATCATAAAAAAATAGATTGGGAAGGGACCTCAAGATCTCAAGGAATTAGATGAACTCCATATCATCTAACTTAGCCCCCTTTTCTGCATGGGTTCTGTATAAACAATTCCACACCTTCCCAATGACAAAGATTCTATAATCTCTCTAGGTAATATTTTCTAGCACTCGATGTACCCTCATGTATAGAAAGTTCATCCTAATATCCAAAATAGATCTCCTTTGTTACAGTTTCTGGTGACAGAGAAAAGAGTTCTTCGCCATCCTTTTAATAACAACCTATTTTGTATTTGAAAACTATTATTTAATTCCTCCTCCGTCTTCTCTTCTCCAAACTAAATAATTCCAGTAATCAACCTTCCCTTCCTTATATGTCATGTTTTGTAGACTTCTGATAATTTTTGTTGCTCTCCTTTTGACTCCTTCCAGTTTGATGAGTTGAAAATTAAAATTAGATTGTCCCCCCAAAAAACATGCAAAAAGGAGAGGATACCTGCAAAATCTAAAAATGAAAAAATATATTTTTGTTTCCAGAAACAAAAATTACTATGAAAAAAAAATTTCAAATCATTTTGAAACAGCTGATGGACCATCAAAATTGTGTGAAAATTTAGATTTGCTAACAATTTCTATTATTTAAATTATTTGCTAATGTGCTCGTAAATGAACAGTACATTATTTGGTAAAAATACTTAAGTTTACTATTGAAGTGCAGGATTTCTTTATAGCTCTCTGTTTTGCATCTGTGCTGGGAAATGTAGACCACAATTTTAAATTATTAACAGTGTGCATTAGGAAAGTTATGCTGTATCTATCTTGTAAATTTCACATATAAAAGACATCTGCTTTTACTTGACATATCAGAAGTGTGTCACAAACCAAATATGCACTGTGCATTTAAATTGATAATACTGTAAATGTAATTACCTGCCACGCTTAAGAGCTGACTCAACCACTTGAGTAGCTATGTGGCATAAAAAAGGCAATTGACAGTTTGTAATCAGGTTGTTTTGCATTGCCTTGATTTTTGAAGATGATGATCTATTCCCATCCTAAAGTAATCCAAATCATTAAAATTAGCGACAGCTAAAAATGATAATTTTTTCATTCTCTTTCTCTGTTTTGGAATCAAATTATCATTTAAAGTGTAAACATGAAACAACAAAGTTTGGAAAGAAGTTCAGTTATTTTATATTCTGTAAACTTTGAGGCATTTGTCTTAATTCATGATCAGAAACCCAGCCCCTGAAAATGATCTTTAAACTGCATCTCATCAAATCATATTATTTAGGAACTATCACACTATGTCAGACTGCCTGCAACAATGGCCAGCAACAAAACTTTAAAAGAATAAGAGCCCCACTGACATGAGATAATCTAATGTGGATGGTAGATGTTATCGTCTTTCTTCCCCTGTGCTTAAGATTCTGCATCTATGATGGCAGAGGATTTGTTCATTCATGTTCCATGCAAGTGGTTTTCTAGCTTGGAACGTGCCCTTGGAATCCATGTAGCTTAAATTCATTTTGGAGTTGCTCCCTGTGGATAGATACAACTTCAAAAGGGGAGGGGAAACTTGCCACTTAGTAGCATGTATCAGCTCTTATTTAATTGTCACATCTATACTCTCCTATGCCAATATAAGTGAGCAAAGTTTCTGTAACTTTAAACCTAAATAAAACAGATAGAAGGTTGAGCTTTACTTCTACTGCACAGAAGGGGAAAATTATATCAGAACAGCTTATACCAGTATACCTTAATACTGGTGTAACTGTTATGCCTGACCATACCCACCACAATCATTGTTGATACCATATTGATAAAAGTTTACACTTAATTTTTATATAAGACCTTGTTTAAAAATGAAAGAAGGTATAGGCTTTCAAAATACTGAGTATATGAGAGATTCAAAGGAATGAAGGGAGTCCATGTTATCTAGACACCTAACCAAATTAAAAAGAACAAGAGCTATAAAAAAGTAACATCTTCATTCCCAATACTTGATGACAGATGGCATTCTTCCACCAGAGAAGCACTTTGATTCCTAATCTCTCAATCTTTTTCTGATCCACACCCAGCCAGTGGTGAAAAAGAAACACTCCATGGTATTTGTCTAGTCACACCGCACAAAGTACCTGGATTTTCTGTCCAATAGATGCCTAGCTGCTCATATTAGATTATTGCCAGCTCTGGGATTGGTAAAAGCAAAGTGCCATCATGTTGCAATCTTAACTAACAATATCCAATGTATTTAATTTGTCCATGTTGGAAGGGCACTTTCAACCTGTTATTAGTGTCTGAAGTTTTTGAGCTTAATCACCAACAGACCAATACTGGAATTGATTCCATTTGTGTACTAAATTACATGGGAGGAAGAATAATAAGTCTGTGTAAGGTTCACAGGAAGAGAGCACAAAACATGTTTTTAGAAGAAATTCAAGTGGTTGTTTTTTGATATATACAAATGTGTGCACAAATTCCATATAGACATTATTGACAAGAAGTATCAAAGTTTCAAGAGCCATGCTCTGAGCAAAGAATGAATAAACAGCAAATATACAAATATTGGCAATTGTATCAGGGGTTTTCCTTTGCTGACACACTGATTTGCTTCAGTTTTACTTTAAAATCAAAAGAACAAGTTCCAAGCTGCCATTCAGATAAATACAATGTACACAACATATTACCAGTAAGTCTCATGCATTACAACAGCATGTGCCAAATGCAAATAAAACTAGAGGCTTATATGCAGCAAATGAACATCAGCTTTAGCCTGAGGCTATGCTACCTTGAGTTGTGAGACTTCAGAAGGTAAAACAGTTCTGAGCTTAGGTAGTAATTAGGTAGAGACCAACAAGTTCATGCATTTGGAATACTGCTTGTTGATTTTTATAAACAACTATCTTTCCATTGAGTCAATACTAACTTAAAATGTCATATTATGGGGTTATGGTATTGGCTCTGGGCAGGAAAGGGCCCACTGGTGCATCCTAATCAGAGGCTAAAACAGAGACATCTGTGTTTCCCTGAACTATTTTGAACCTTGATTCCTGCTACACTATTGCTATATGAGCCTCTGTCTCTGCATGAGTTGTCCCTTGTTGGGCCTGTAATAAACAGCATGTTAACCATGGGCATGACTACACATATGCCTTAAGATGCATTAACTTATTTTAATGCATATTAAAGCATCACAAAAAAACTTGCTCTTTAGCTAATGCACATGAAAATAGGCTAATGTGCCTTTTTCTAGTACCTCACAGTAGTGGGGATTTTTACATGTGCTTTAGAGTAGGGTGTGGCTGCTCTAATTAAAGCACCCACAAATTGTGTATCAGCTTTCCTGTGCTTCAAAATGGGGGCAGGGGTGCTTTTACTAAAGCTTGTCGAACAAGCTTTGGTTAAAGTGCCCCCTGCTACTATTTTGAAGTGCAGGGACGTGGATGCATGAGACGTGGAGGCTGCTGGAACATGCTAATTAGCACGCTCCGGCAGACATGATTAATCAAGTCTGCTGTGATGCACTGTTATTACAGTGCACTGTAATAACAGTGCATTGCAGCAGCCTCCCTCCGCATCTGCAGGGACTACCTAAAACATATTAATGAATGTGTAGATGTGCCCCTTATATGCATGCTGCTGCTTCTCTTGGCCCCAAGCATAACATCTACTTTGTGTGGAAGAGGTGTGGAATGTTACAGGTGTCCTCTTTTGGCGTCTACTGACATCAGTGTGTTAGAGTAATGGATCCAGGAAATGGCGTGTATCAACTGTCCATGTGCTTTCTTTTTCCCATGGAAAGTAGAAGCTGAAATGCAGTAGCTTAGCCCTCAATGGAAAAGGGTAATGTGCTGCAGGTTAGCTTCCATTTGTTATGAAGTAAAGATGCACATGGAACCTTGTTACCTTGGAACAACTGATGTGCAATGAAGTCTTGGCCTATTGTTTATATGTCAATTTCTTTAGACACTTATTCATAAAAATCCCATCACACCTTTCCTAAGTATATTAGCTAATAGCCAGTTTAGGTTATTTTACTCTGTTTACTCCCGTTCCCACCTACTGTTTCATTTAGATTTGAAATTGCCCTTCACTTGTTGACCTAAAGCAAGTGCTATGAAGTAGCTGCCCTGTTTTAAGTTAGAAATTAGTATATTTCCACAGCAAATGGAGTGCTTCTGTGTGGATATGTATATTATATGTAGCTAGAATAGCTTATAAAGTGTTCTAGTATCTTCTAGATGAACAACACCATACAGATGAAAGATACACTGGAAATTATTTCTGTATTACCTATACTAATTAAAGTTATGTTTTAAGACTGCAATTAAGTATTGAAAGACTGAACTCCTATTAGGAGGAAAAACAGAGACTATATTTCTCTTTTTTTTCACTTTTTAACATCATTTGAAAGGTGTCACTTATACAGGAAATACAATTAATAAAAATCTCACGTTCGTTTGTTTGCTTGTTTTTCAGTGTGCAGTGATCTGGAATTTAGAGAAGTTGCAAATAGATTGCGAGACTGGTTTAAGGCACTTCATGAAAGCGGAATCCAGAACAAGAAAACCAGAATTGTACAAAGGCCTGAAAGAAGCAGTAAGAGTTTTTTACTTTGATACTTTCCTGCACTTTGTTTTTGCATTATTAAGACTTCAATTATTCCAGTGATTTCAAAGCTATGTTTTATGAAGCAAATGCAACGAAACATTAATTTATTACTTTAAGGGATTCATTTGGTTATTTAAATGTGTTTCAGGAAGTAGAAATATGCTTTAATATCAACTTTCAGCATTCACTTTAATCTTTAAGAGTTTTTTGGCAGAACTTTGTCTGGTGAGAGACTATGTGGAAGCTATTACTCATAAAGCTGCCATTTAGCTCTAGGTTTGAATTAGAATAGTAACACAGTAGAAATAGTTTCATAGTTTCTAGGGTCGGAAGGGACCTG